CTGAACTTCCATAAGACAGAACTCACTCATGACAGAAATCAGATGCTGCCATCCCAAAAGGCCCCTTTCAATGTGATGCCCACCTGTGACCAATCCAAAAAAAACAGCCTGAGAGGTGCCTTCCTTTTTTTTTTTCCAATGATAATTTTTTCTTCCTGGTTCTCATGCCCTGATACAGAGCTATGAATAATATTTGCACTGCCAACTGCAGGGACACTGGTGTTTTAAAAAACCAATAATCCAATAAAAGTTTCAGTTTGTGGCCTTTACTAATTAATAGTATTCCATTAAATAGGAATATTACCATTTCCTTATTAGACTTCTCAGCTATCTTCTTTTAAAATCAACAGGTAAAAACTACATGGAGAAAGAGTATGAACAGGCATCAGAGAAACAGCCACATATTGCAGCACTGTTAACCAGCTCCTGAAAATTACAGCTCCATCTCCTGCTCACAGCCAGACCTAAATATATTTGTACACTCGCTCTCATTGCAAATGCAGTGGCTTTAGTTTTGTGCCAGGTAAGAGAGATGAGAATCCAGCTCCCAGTCTGCATTTCTAACTCTTCACAGAACAAGAGAGTCCAAACATATTTTAGTTCTTTATAGCTGCTCTTCATAGACAACTAAAGATCTTTATCACGATAAAAACAGAAGGCACTGCCACAGAGTGTAATTACATGGTGCTGGAGTTGACTGTTTTCTTCCAGAAATAGGAAATGGTTTGAAAAATGTGGTTTCTGCTCAAGCCATATTCTGAGCTCCTTAAATAAAATACTATCCCTAATTCCTGTGCAGATAAATGGGAACTCTGGTACTGCAGGACTGAGTAGCTCAATGGGTTTTGAGACTGGGCTTGGAAGGCACCACCTTCCTACTCCAGTGACCAGCTGTGAGTTGCCACAGTGGAAAATCAGGTTTAGGCTCTGTTCACACCACCCAAAAGTTCCTGTCCCAGGGATGGTGTAGAAGTTAGTTGGGATGATTCCTTGCTCCTCTTTAGTTGCTGAAGAACCCAGCACTTGAAGGCAGTGTGCCCTACGGAGCTCTTCCATTCAGACACATGGCACAGCAGGATTTGGTCAAAGGGTGGACTTGATGATCCTGGAGGTTTTTGCAACCTTAATGATCCATGACTGCAACCCCCCAGAAACACTGAGCCCTGCACCAAGTGAGGACAGGCCAGTGCTGCAGAGCCCCAGGCACAGGAACAGGATGGGGGCTGCACATCCACAGCTGCATCCGCGCCGGCAGCCAGTGGGAAATGTCCTGCCTGAAGGTACAGAAACTGTCAGGCAGCAGGACAAGCAGGTTTCAAATATCCACTCAGTCCCACACTCCTGATTCCTTCAACAGGCCTAAATTAGGATTGTTGTACATATCCTAAGACCACTGGCACTGGACTGTTGTCTCTTACTGTACAGCTAAAAGAAAAAGGTTCTTGCTTCTTCTGAAATAGTTTCTAAAGGGGAAAAAAAAAAAGGTGCCTAAAGGAGAGTAATTATTGTGCTAAATAACTATCAATAAATTATAAGAAGTACAAGCAACTCAAAATAGCTCCATAAAGATGAGTAAACATGATCTGAAGAGGTGTTTATGAATCACACTCCATCTCTCTTATTACAAAACAATAATGGTTCCTACATTTTACTACAGAACTTTCCACTGAAGATGCAAGAGATCTCTATAACCATTAATTTCACCTCCCAGCCTCCCAGCTGGGAAGCCCCATCTCCACCAGGACAAGCTCAGGGAGCAGGAATGTGCCATTCACCTCACACGACACAAGGTGCTGCAGCAGAGCTGGGAACAGGCGCAGACCCCGGCCTCCCATTTTGTGCATTAACCACAAGATCATCCAGTGTCACCCACTTACTCCATCTATTCACTAAACCATTGCTGATCATTTCTTCTGTTTCCTTTCCCAGAGAACCACTCTCTTAGTCAGGGAGCTGCAGTGTGAGTGGCAGCCCCAAATGTTTTGGAAAAGGTGGACAGAGCGAGGCACCGCTGCGGGGCCAGGACACACGGACGGACACACTTCCCTGTACCTGGTGAAATGTCCTGCCCACTACTCCTCCTCTCTGAAGTGGGATCTGAAGTGAATGAACATTTTTCTTCCTTAAACCCCAGCATGTCACAGGCTTCAAGAGCCATTCTGCAGCTCTGTGCATGCTGCTCACATCACACTCACAACACGTGAAAGAAAGTGACTCTGTTTTAAAGGGAATTATTATTTGCTGCTTCGAAAATCATTCAGGTTACCAAAGGCACATCCTTTCAAAACAAGTCAATGTAACCAAGCTCGACCTTCCCCAACTTGGGTTGCTTACACAGACATTCCCTGACTTTAATCAGGGTTCTCTCCCTCTGCCCTTTGCTTTTCCCACTCCATCCCTTTTCAGTACTTGCTTCTCTCCTAATCCTGCTCTCTTGCCATTTCTAGTCTCTTCCCCTCCTTTCTTTACAGTAATTTCCATTTTCTTTGAAATGTTTTGGCATTTAATGCTGGCTTTATTCTTCCTTCTCCATCTGCTGCTCTTGTCTTTCTAAATCTCTTCTGGAGCCTTCTCTCGGGAGAAAGCAAGAGAGATGTACTCTGTTCCATGTACTGCTTCATCTTTCTGGATTTCAGTTCCCTTCTTTTCCTTCATGGCTTGGAATCAGACAATCCTCCTGTCCCTGGAAGCTGATAGCAACTAAAATGTCTCCTGCAGCTCCACATTAGGAGGTACTGTGCTGCACTGGATCTCCTGCTCCCTCTGAACACAAGGATCTCAGGAGAGCACTGGGAAATATCTGCCATTTCTCCTATAAAAACTACAAGAGTGCAGAAAGCAAAATTACTGGTAGGTTTTACTCCCCTGCCTGGTGCTCGACATTTGTGGAATCTTCTGGCCATGGAGACTTGCTCCACCAGCTACAATCCATTTTCCAAGGGAGTTTCCCCCTCCCTAAGGGTTTTTCTTCTCTGTAAAATCTTCTATTTCATTATCAGGGCTTACAGGGAACAAAGGAGAAAAAACCAAGCTTAACTACTAAAACTGCTTTTAGACAAATCTCCCCTATATTGTCTTTCCCACAGATTTTAGTTTGGAACTCAAAGGCTCAGCTCTAAGATGTCTCTTCCCAGCCTGCTGGCTTGGCCTCTGTTCCCAGGAAGGGAAATAGCTGCAACATGGAAGATGACAAGGACATTTGCCCATTAGAAGCACAACAACAGATTTCTCTTGGGAAATGTGCAGCCCTATCTGCAAGTGTACCTTTGAACTAAGACATAAGACACAACAGAAACTGATCACAGATTAAGCAAAGCAAATATTAAGAGAATGGTGAAAGCATTTTTTTTCTGTTATCAATTTTTGTTTATTTCCAGACTTCAAGTCTGACTTTCTGTGAAAGTTTTCCTTGTGTTTGTTATTAACTGATATGTTTGATATTGTCATACCAGTGGGAATGATGCCTCCTGAATGTTTTTGCTTTCAGAAAGGCAGAAGGAAAATAAACACCTGAAAAAAAATCCCTTGCAGACAGCAAGATGGATTTTGCAAAAAAGGGTGAGATTTAAGTCATAAAAATTACAAATCCTTTACAGTTGCAGTTACATTGCCAATACACAGAAATAAAATAGAAGAAATGAAGCATTTATCAAGGTTCCAAAATAAAGTGAACAAGAACATTAACAAATGCCAAAGCTTATAAAAGCCTCAAAGCACTCAGATCCTCCCTTCTCTCACAAGCTCAAAAGGGAGTCAGTTGTTCCTCAGTTTTATCTTACATGTTTCCCACACCACCTTTTCTCTGGTCACAGAGATTTTGCTTTATTCAATGTCTAAAATATACCTGACCATGGAATGAGCAGCAGCCATAAAACCAGAGTGGAGAATCCCACACCTGTTTCTCAAGGTTTTCCACTGTTGTAACACAGAGCATATTCCCATGGATTTATTATAAGCTAAAAGGAAAATATGTATTTAACAAGACCCAATTCCTGTGAAATGTGCTGAGCTGAAGCCCAAAAAGAGACCAAGAAGGAACGTGATGTGCTCATCCTGCCCCACTCTCCTCTGGCAGTTCCATGTTTATGGTCTCCTACTTCCCCCCTGCAAACAGCAAATTCTCATGGCTACACGTGCCACACCATGCTCACCAGCACAAAAAGTGAGAACTGAGTGAATTGTCTTCCCTGGTAATTATTTGAAAGGTATCTGCAGGGATAACGACAGATTTTCAGATCAAAGCCTGATTTAAGCTGACCGACCCTTTCAGCATTTCTAAAGAAATAATGGATTACAAAACTAATTCAGTGAAAAATGAAAGTAAAAATAGAAGCGATGAGACATCTTCTAAATAAGCAAAGCTGCTTTTACAGCATGCTGAATAACTGCAGTGTGGTAAACATACCACTGTTATAAATAACAACCAGCCTTTTGACATTGTTCTTTCGTTAATTATTTCAAACTCTTTATCAGCCTTAACGAAGCAAACCTCATGGTTCTCCTGCAAAGTGAAAAGAATTACTCCCATGTATAGGAGGAAAAATTAGGATATAAGGACAGAAAACAACGCTTCAAAGCTACAGTGGCACATGTACAGAGCACTCAGGAAGTCTGATAGTGTAAGAGAAAAACCATCTCCTTGTTCAGACGAGAGTGTTCCCTAAGTGACTGATTTGTAGCATTTACACATCATTTAATTTTACACAAAATGCATCAAAATTTTTAGATTTAACCATAATTAGTAAACGATTTAGACATATCAAAGTTTTATACTGGTAAGTAAGGCTCAAATTCCTTTTAAATGGAAACTCTGATTTCTCCCTACTAAGGCAATTTCTTGTTTTGTTTCAAGTCTTAATCATAAAACCATTAAAAGTAACATTTTGTGTTAAAAATGCTAGCAGCTGCCAACAGATAATACACAGCACTTTGTCAGATTATAGATAAATAAACACCAGACCAGGCACAACAATGGGTAGTAAGTAATTGTGTCTCATTACCTTTGTGGTCTTCTTGGGCCAGCTGACCACAGGGACACCCGAAATGGCAAGATTTTGGTCATCATCAGCATGTTCCTTTAGTATGTTCTGTTGCAAATGAAAAGGCCTTTATTAACCAGAGAAACATTTCTCCAACTCAAGAGTGCAGAGACCTACAGAAGAGAATACTCTGCTCTCATGGCACAGGGACAAGATCTCTGCAAGTTACTCTTGCTTCCAAACTTCCAATTCCCACTGAAACTCTAGCACCAGTCATTAACATCCAAGATGTGAAACTTCTTGCAAAACAGACAGCAAAATCAGCCATCAATCACCTCAAATGTTACAGAATTCTTTAATATTGGTGTGTCCAAGATCAGTGTCTTACCACTGTCACCTCTCTCCCTCAAATCCAGGTCATTAAATCCCAGCTGACCCCACAACTGACCCCTTCTCTCCTAATCAAGGCTAGAGAAGGCCTGAGAAGCAGTGAGGCTCTGCCCCTGTTATTTCAGCCATCACAGGGCAGCAGGTGTGTAGTCTGGAGCAATCCTCAGATGCCTGATCATTCAGGTAAGTCAAGAATAAAAATATACTCTGGAACATTTAATCTTTTTGCAAATGGCAATCCAAGAGCACCATCATTCCCACTGCCCTTCCTCCCCCCATGATGGGCAGGACAGAGCTGCAGGAATCCAGCTCCCTTTATGTGACCAGCTGAGGCATTCAGGTTCCTGAGTGTTTGCTAGGAAAGGATCTGACTACGGACAGCATTAAGGGAAAAAGACTGGTCTCCCCTCCCTTCCACCCCCACCAAGCCCTTTTCTTTGATGCACTGTTCTAGAAATTTCATGAGTGGGTTGCACAGGCTGACACAGCTTCCACCACTGTGAATCACTCCCATGACCAGTAACTCAGCACAGAGGTGGTAAAACACTCCGTGGTGCAGCTGGGAATAGGCCACGCTCGCCTCCCGTGACTCCCTGCATGCTCACTAATTTAGCTACAAAGCTCTTCATTTTGGAGTTCAGGTGGCTGAAAAGGAAGAAATGAAAACAAAAAAAAAAAAAAAAAAAAAGGAGTCAGAAGGAGGATTCTGCTGTGCTGCTGAAAACTGAAGGCCAAATCAGCACCAACAGGTTAAAGACCAAAAAAAAAAGCTCCAATAGAACAAAGGAGAACTCCAGGTTGGAAATTACTTCAACAGAATATTTAGGAGATGACCCCAGACAATGAAGTTCAGCAGTGCTGTTCCCAAGTATATTAAAAAAGCTTAATTAGCCAACAACAGGCAGCAGGCTCTGTCAGTCCCCAGTGCACTCTAGTAATTAGTAATTTCACACACTATACAAAAAGAGCTTAAAATACAGTAATTGTTTTAATAGGGAGTGCACTTGGAATTCATCTGTAATCATCCAACTAAAGCCCAGAGTGTGATGGCACGTTCCAGTTCCCAGGAGCCTGAGTGTGGATGAGTGTCCCTGGGGCTGACTCTCTCCCTGGAGCTCAGACAACCTGTCACACTGAGCCCAATTCCCCAGCCTGTGCTGAAATGAGAGCTGTTACCAGCAGGCAGCACAGCCCCAGCACAGAGCTGCTCCTGCAGACAGCAGCACCCCAGCAAGGCTGTTGGTGATGCTGCTTAGGCTGAAAGCAGCACCAGGGACCAAAATAAGCGATACCAGTACAAGCCCAGTTTCATCAGCCTGGTGCTGTGGCTGCACTCAGGGGTTTGTAAAGCTGAGCAGTAAAACCCAGCTTGCCCCAGCCTGGCTGTGATGCAGAGTCTGTATTGTACCTGCTCTTCCAGTGCAACACCCAGCAAGTTTTAATCATTGGCAAATTAACTCGTGGCCAAGCTGAGGAGCACCTCTTTTCTCATGTCCTTTTCATTTGGAGAGAGATCACTGCATTAACTGAGCTGTGACCACATTCTGAAAGTTCAATCCTAAAACTGAGAGCTCTTTTGTATTCTCATCGCAAAGCCAAAATTCTCCAGAACAAGGAGGCAGCTTGAGAGCCATAAACAAAGGACAAATTAATCCCTTTTTACTTTGCTACTCTTAGGTTTGAAAGCCTGTAAGACAGAAAATCTTAACATTTCCACTAACGACTGTCAGAGACTTGGAGTTCAATGGAAAGCACAGTATATTCCAAGAACTTGGCAAGGTAATGAAGGTTTCTTGTTATCATATGTATCACGTGAAAATATTATCCAAGGAGAAATGCAAAACTATGGCAGCTTATCATCTGAGGCAGCTGAAAACAACGGCTGTCTGCACAGAGCACAGCACAGCCACAGTTGCGCTGACTGGAGCGTCAAGTGTCAGCTCACAACGGGCTGGGGGAGGCAGGGTTTTGTTCACCTGCCTAAAAACAAGAAAAAAGAAGATAAAGAAAAGCCATGGGGCTCCAGTTAGAGGAACAACGTGATGCTCTTCCAGCACAAGGTGGCTCGATTCATTACACTTGAGGGCTGTGGTGACAACAGCAGGTATGAAGGGAAGAAGCTGATTAACTGTATAAGAATTCAGCTTAGCCATTAATTTCAAAAGCACAGCAAGGAATGACTCCCCTGAAATGCATTCAGTAGAGGGAGGTTTTTTTCTGTCATCAGAATGGGAAGGGGGTAAGATTTCTTGGCAAGAAAAAGTAAGAACATATTTCAGTAGATATCATCTGTCTTGCACAAGAATCTTCTCCTGCTGCCAAGGAGCTGCAGATATTTGACAACCTCTGTTCTTCAAACCGAGTTTCTTCTGCTCTAATGGACTTCCACTGGCCCTTCTGAAGAATGGCAGTGTTTTTGCTTTGAAGTGGGCAAGGTCTGTAGCATTAGTAAGAGGCAGATCTCACAATCCTGTTCCCCAAGAGCAGCAGAGGAATTACCATCCTCTGGTACCACACAGAAATGTTATGTGCAGAAATCAGAGGCTGCACACAGGTGGGAATCCCTGGCAGTGGGTTTAATGTGTGTGGGCTGCAGTGCCACAATCCAAGGTCTGCTCAGCTTCACCTGTCCTGTGACGTGGAGTGCATCCTACACCAAGGAGTGCAGTGGTGACCTCTTCTTCATGCATAAGCCCACCCCAGCACTGCTGCAACCACCAGGGATTTAATTCCCTGTTTGGGCTGAGGGAAGAACTGACCTGCTCTCCAAGTGAGGCCTGTTCCACTCTGCAAATAAGCCTCCCTTGTGCTGCTGCACTCCATCGATCACGGTGATAAATGGGTGCTCAATCTGCAGAGGCAGCAGTTGGCACTTCTGGATTGCTGTGTCCCCACCAGACAGGCACACTTAGTTTGGAGCTCAGATGATGTGTAAGGAATTTACACAGGCTTAGTTTAGTTTTCAGTCTCCCTTCTGGTAAGGAAAATAAATTACTTTACTTCAGAAAGTCTCACCTACTTGACATTAAATAGCTGTAAATAGCTGTGGTTGTGTTTACCACTAAGAGCAGTAATCCAGTCACCCATCCTTTACCTTGCTCTTGCTCAGCTGGGAAAGCATGGATTCTTTGTGAGCTACCCCGATTAGTTCTGTGAAACTTCACATCACTGAATAAAATGGTTTCCTTTCTCCAGTTTAACTATCCATATCCTGTTTTCTGAAAACATTAATTATCTTCCTAAAGCACAAAGACAGACTTGAATGTCATACAAAAAAAAGTTCCTGAGTGTATTTCATTAAGAAATAAAAGTGCTAGAATAAACACTGATTTATTTGCTTCAGGAAGAAACTTGTTTAAGACTTTCCCAGCAGAGCAAGAGCTTTCAGACTTTGTCAGAGCATGTTCTTGCTATGCATTTGTTAAAAATAACTCTCAAATGGGTGCACTAAAAGGGTACTTCTAATAGGAAGCATTATTAATACATCACTTGCCTGAAAGTTGGGTTGCCCATGAAATAAACCTTGTTAACACAGCCAAATACAGTCACAGCATGGGTCATACAGCTCCTGCAGGATTCCTGCCTCCATTCAGTCACACAGCTGACTGAATGTGCTCTGGGTACTCATCAGGGTGAGGTAAAGGGGCCAGGCCTCTGCTCACTCCACTGCTGATGCTATCAGCAAACCCCCCACGTTATTATCTGTACAGGTTGGAAAACTTGTAGCAAAGAACATGATTCAGTGGTCAAAGAGATAAATACCCTTCTGGAAAATGGACTGTATTTCTTCCTCTGCCATTATGTCTTTATGTGGTACAGGGCAAATCTTTAAGTCAATATTCCACAGGGTGTCATGAGTTGTGTGCTCCTGCTCTTCCTCATGCCTGGCTTGGGATCTGGATGTTAAAGATCAGAACTCCTGCTCTGCAGAAATGTTAAGCCATGACTGTTTCAATATAATTAAAATCATATTTTGCACATATCATTGTTAAATACACTAACTGTCCTGGCACATAAGGCCAGTACCCAAAATTACTTTTATCTTAATCTCTTTGCACCCCAGTTCCCTGTGGTAACAACAGCTCATCCATTATGTGTGGAGCAGTGGGTGGAGATCCTTGGGAATCTCAAGGGAAAATTCATTCACCCTGTCCAGCTAAGGGGCTGAACATCAGAACGTGATGGAACAGCAAGGGTGGAACAGCTGCATCCTCACACCAGGGAACCCTGGATCCTGCAAGGACCATTATGCTGGAGCATGCTCAGAGGACTAAAATCTGTCACTTGGCAACTCCTCCCTCAGCACGCCCCATCCTTTGAAGGTAAAAGCTCTAAACACACTCACACACTTGGGTTTGATTTTTCTTTTTTTTTTTTGAAGTGAATAAACTGAATAAAACAAACCTCATGTCTGAGGACATTGCACTCCACTGCACTGCTCTCTACCACACCAAGGAGCACAGTGGCAGAAAGGAGGGATGGCTCTTGCACCCAGGGTCTCAGAAGTAGATGGGAATGGGTCACACCTTGTCACTGGCTGCCTGTGACAATCTGCTGATGAACAAAGAGAAGGCCTGTGCTGGAATCCTGGACTGCCCCCTGACCTGGGAGGCAATGCACTCAACTGCCCCTAACTGCCCCCATTCCTTCAGAGCACCTGGGAAGTGGATTGTGAAACCCCAGGGAGTTATGGAGGAAGCTGACTGCATGGGCTTTAATTAATTTACTCTGCCATACTGGCTCCCAGTCTCTGAAGACTGAGGGCTGCCTTATATGTGGGTCAATACTGTAAAAAAGATGGATGAGAAAGTTCTTTAGCACTTCTTTAGACACTGTTCAAGAAGATGTTTGAGTTTACATGGTTTTTAAAAAGCCTTACTCTGGCTAATCAGTCACAGACTGGCCCAACATCCAGAGGTGATTCCAGGGGAAACAATCCTGCTGATGTTTAGATGTGGTCATGGGCTCTTTAACCAGCAGGGAACCATCAGTATCCAGATGTTGGGTTACATCCTTATGGTTACAGCATGTGCTGGCAAGGACAGAAAGTTTAGAAGCAGGCAGTTATCAAAGGAGATGGAACATCCAGCTATACACCATAACTGGCAGGTGCTCACTTAATACCAGTTACAGCACAGTATCACCAAAAAGGTGATACTGGCCTTTTTTTAAACACACCATTGTAGTTCTCCATCTCTGTAGTCAGTGAATCCACTGTTCTGGAGAGGAATAGGAAAACAGATACTCCCACACAGAGCTTTAAGCCAGATTCACATATGGTACCTTGCTGTGTTCTAGGGAGATGTCTCACAGCACTCTGGAGTCTGGCATCCAAAGAGGGAGCAGGATCCCACTGGGAACATCTGCACCAGCCATTATATGTTGCACCCCTTTCTGGATTTTGAAGTGAAAATTATCCTGTGCATCAAGCTTGGAGAAGTAACATGACCATTCTTTCTGCTTCACCACAAATTCAACTTCTGGTCTTCATTTTGATTTCTGATTAAAAGATGACTGATCCCAGAGCAAGCTCATGAATCTACAACTGCAACTCTGAGCAGGTGTATCCACTTTCATGTACAAAGTGAATGATTTTGCAAGAAGAGAATTTCTGAGCTCTTGTGGTTTACCAGAATGAGAGCAGTGCATCACACTTCCAAGCTCCAAGATCAGGGAATATGGTTCCACTGCACACTGCACATGTTCAGCCTTCTCTAATGGCTTTGAAGCCTTTCTAAGCAGCTGTTACATCACTTGCACTAAAATAGTACAGGCTCCTTCCCCATTTACCACATAAACACATATTTTCCCCCTCAGATTGTGCCTTACAAAGCTGTTGTGTATAGACTGAAGATCAATACTGTTCACAGACTGAAAATCTACAGAGAAGTTGTGTCACTAGTGAGTACTCACTCCTCACACCAGCCCCAAAACCAATATATTGTACCAGTGGAGAATAATTATCAACCTATAGAGGGCAATGGAGGAAAGGAAAATGAAAAAGGTGAAAGGAAAAAAAAAGCAGCTGGAAGTGTTAGACAATCTATCTCCTGAGCTGCAATCAAGTATTTACATTTTGAATGTGTCAGCTAATGAGGTGTACACCAGGGAGACACGAGACCAAAAAGGGCTGATTAAAAGTGTAAATATAAACAGACTTTTTGAGGTATAATATTTACATGTGAAACATAACAAGTGCTGAATTATGAGAGGATACAAACTTTTGGCCACTACTGTGACAGTCAGAAAGGACTGTGTCACTTAAATCTGGCTGCAAACAGGAGCCAGAGACAGCTTTGGCTCAAGGAATCATTTCACTGTCAGGCAGAGCAGCCTGACATGAGCTGGTCACCACACAAAAGCTGCCACCCCTCTGCAGCAGAACTCTGCCTTCTGCTCTCCTGCTGTGCCCACAGAGCAGAGTTTGTGTGGATCACCAAGTTATCACACCCACCTTCATGTCCTCCAGGAGAGCCTGAGGGTCTTCAATGCCTTCTGGAACACACTTCTTGTTCTCTGGGAGAGATTCAAGCTTTTCCACCAGGGCTTTTAAACCCTTCAGTTCAAATTCTGTGAGGTGAGTCCATTTGGTTGAAACTTCTGTAGCTGGAGACCCCGTGGGTGTTTTGGGATAGTCTGTCGGGGTCGTTGATTTTATGCTGTCATCTGACTCATTAGACAAAGTTCTTTTCAGGTACCTCATCACTGTGGCTTTTTGTTTCCTCCCTGCAGCCTCCTTCCCTTCTGAGTGTGTGCTGTTGGGTGAGGAGGAGCCATCCACCAAGGATTTGGAGTTCTTATCCAAGCTGTCATCCTTCTCCTCCTGGAGATGGGCATCACAAGATTCTTCATCCATGTCTAACCACGAATCTGATGAGTAGCTGTCTGTGCTGCGTTTTCTTTTTGCATCTGAAAGTTAGAAAAAGAATGCTGAATTTTTAGCCAGTGTAACCTCACAGCTGAAGCACTTCTGTACCACTGGGGCCAGGTGCTGCCTATTTCAAAGGGCACTGGAGAATGGTTTAGTGAGTATGTGACAGGAATGGGCTTTATTCAGCTGATTTTTAATTTTTTTTTCTTTGAGGGGGGCGCTTGTTTGTCTGTTTTAATGCTGGTTTTCATTAACATCTACTCAGTTCAAATGACTGGGAAACATTTAGGGAAAAATTATGCTTTCTTCAAAGCTTCAGTCCTCTATGCCTTCAATTAGGAGTAGGCAGAGCTCTTAAGTCACACACAATTAATTTTCCCACAAATCCGAAAAAGACCAGATTCGGCAGCTTTACAGCTTTAAGAGGAGAGTTAGCACAGAAGGAGGAGGGGGAAATGATGGGAGAAAGCACGTTAAAATGCTGTACATCATCATTCTTCCAGGAACCCTGCACAGCACAAAATCAACTCCTCACTACTTTTCCTCTCTGCAAGCAACAAACTGTTGATAAAACAAGAACCCCCAGTTGTTAGTGCATGAATACTCATTGCTCTTCTGAGACAGAGGATTTCAGCTGTGCTTATTTTACGACAACAAGACAAAACACACTGAGAAACACAGGGACTGTCACAGCTCCATGCTACTGGTTTTCTTAATGCCATTCCTGATACATTTTAGGTACTTCTCAGGAAGATTTAAAGGCAAGTTTCTGAGTCTAAAGAACTATTAATCTTAATTTCCCCCTAAGAGCCCCAATTGTTACCCAACTCCGTGCAATCAAGCAGTGAAAGCAATGTAGAAACCAGTGGCCATGGTTCCCTCAAGCACACATCTTCTCTTATTTATTAGACACAATTTCCCTTACCAAGTGAACAACATTGAATGCAGGCTAGCAACAGCAGGAATTTCTGTGGAAAATACAGTTAACAGTGGCAACACCCAGTTAAATCAATGTGAATTTTATTGCTGGCTGAAATGGGTATGAGATTGAGCTGCAAACAAAAACACACTGCGAAGGAAACAGAAGTCACACAGAAAAAGTGAGAGAACAATTAATGAAAAGTTCCTTTCACAGCTTCCATGCTTTCCAGTGCAGTAGCTTTGGATTAGGACAATGTGAACCATGCTTAAGGAAGGATTAAATGGACATTAATGAGAATGCTCAGCATCCGGCTGTTCAACAGCAAGGTTCAAAACAAATGCTGGAGCCCAGCTCCAAGCTGGAGAATTCCTCCTGGTCACAGGAACACTCCTTGTCTGTGCTCAGTCTGCACCATCCTGTCACAAACACACTGGACAGAGGTGCCAAGGCAGTGGCAGTGTCTGAGGCAGCTTGCTCAGCCTGCCTGGCTGCTCAGCTCTGCAGCTCCCAATAAAAGCCCTGCAGGGCCAGCTCAGCTCTGTGTGTCACTGCCCCAGAGATACGAGTTGGTCACCTCACACATCCCAGGGCAAGTGTGCTGCTGCTACAGGGTCTGCAAAAACCCAGCATCTCCATCCACTCTACTCCTTCAGACAGGATTACATTTTTCCTCAAAACCAAAATGGCCATAAAATGACTCCTGAAAGGTAAGTTTAAGCTGAAATGCCTGTGAAAAGATGGCAGCCACAGAAAGCACCAGCTATCAGCAAGGCAGGGTGCAGCTAAATCCAGCTCCATCCACAGGGAGGGTAACTTCCTTCCTGCAATCCTCCAAAAAAGCCTCACAGATTATTTTGTGTGCTGAGGTGGTGGCATCAGCACTCCAAAGCAGCTCCTCCTCTCTGCTCTGTGCTAATACACCCCCATGCTTCTCTTAGAAAAATAAACAGGATTAGAAAATATCTTAACTAGAACATTTAAAACCCACTCAGTTATCCAACTTTTATTTCACACTGTTTTTTCCTTTGTCCACAGTAGCAAGCAGACGTACCTACCTCAAAGGCTACATAATCAGCTTATGTCATTCTCCCATTTTACAACTGAGGAAACAGATGCTTGGGAGAAAGCACGATTTGCTCATTGTCACACATCAAATCTAGGGAAAAACCAGGAATGAGAATCCAGGCTGTCGGATCCAGGGCTGGAGCCCCCTTCTCTGAGCCACACAGCCTCGGTGAGCTGTTTTACAACTGACTCAAGCACAAAGCCCAGCCTCAATGGGAGAAAATGCCAGAGTTCTGGCATCAAACAGGAGAGGGTGGAAGCAGATCCACATCCCTACGCTGCCAGGACAGTGTCATTAACAGAAAGTAGTGTAAATCTGCACAAAGAAAATGGTGTTTCTGTCCTCCTGTGCTGTAGCTCTGCTGAACAGGAACTAATGGCTGTAAGTGGGGCAAAGCACAAGTGTAAATAAGGCCTAAAGAAAACGAGGGAGATCACGTTATGGAGGTGGGAATGATTTACTCCAAGTAACGCTCTGGTGCGAGGAGAAAAAGCTTCCAACAGAGATCTCCACTTTTTGTCTCTTGCTCTAATCTATGGAAACAAAAGGCAGGAGAGGAGTGGAGCACCAGAGCATAGTGGGGGCCTGTTCCCAGGAGAAGGCAGCACACGGAGGGGGGCCGGCAATTCCGTTCTGCCAGCTGCCACCGCGTCCCTGCCACCGCGTCCCTGCCACCGGCCGCTGGCACGAGGCAGCGCCGCCGTGCCAGCCACACCTGGGCACAGACAGGCAAAAACAACTGCCACCTGACCCCAAACAAACACCACCACAGCAGTGCATGCTCCCTGCATGCCTGGCAGTCACTTCAGCCTTGCCTAGCTTTCCCATGGGCACGGGGCTTGCCGCTAACCCGGAGTGCACCAGGCTGTTCTGGAGCACCAGGGGATTACAGCGCTGGTGCACCGCCGGATTAAGAGCAGGCTGCTCTCAAAACACAGCAACTGTCTGCTACTGCTGCTAGTCTAAAAAAAAAAAGCACCGAGGGAATCAATAATGGAAGGATAACTTCAAGGTGAGGGAGATTCAATTTTGTGTTTCTGAGTGTTTTGTTGTAATGCAACATGCCATGATTTTTATTTATTCATTTCAATGAAAACATTGTCTGACAGAGTTACTGTGCTGTCAGCTGAGGCCCTACATAAGCATAATCTGCATTTACTTTGTTGAGAAGTGCATTTTAAGCACTGTATTACCAGGGCTCCACTGACTTGGAGGTTTCTGGTTTATTAAGTCTCTCTGTGGGAAACAGCACATGCTCAGCTCAACTGTTTCTTCTTCTGAGTCAATGCCCCAATGAGTCCCAGGTCTGAAGCCCACTTTCAGAGGGGTTATCCAGTCTGGGCTCCCACACAACTTAGTGCAAAAATACCTTCACCCCCCCATCTCAAAGCAAATAAAACCAGCTCATACAGACCAGTCTGTGATCTAGCTCAGTGAAGAGGTGGAGCAGCAATGACTTGACCACAGGACAGAGCCTTAGAAATCTTTTCTGTAACAGTTCACTTCCCTGTGGCTCTGGGCAGACCACTTAACTTTCCTCACAGCTATCCACTTGTACAAGAATAATTATACACAGTTTCTTTTCTTGCTGAAAAGCATCTTACTGTATTAGAGAACTTAAAAGAAAAGGATGGAGATCAGGCATAATCATGAAACCTTTCTGAACTATTTAGAACAGGCCAGTGGGTAGTGTCTACCTTGCCATTCCCAGCTCCAAACCCTGCCACTGTGACTTGGGAGCAGCAGTTACTATCAGTCTGCTAAAGACAGCAATGGCATTTTCATTAGCAGAAAAACCCTGAGCATACTGGAAATGTATCCCATTGCTCCACTGCATGGAGCACCCCATACAGCAACCACTCAATATACTCAGGTACCTGTCTATCATGAGCAAATCTATTCCATCCCCTGAGGAAGAGGGGGGAAAAAAGAGACATGGCTCTTTCACTGTGCCAGAGGGCATATTTTCTATATCCATCAGGCTTAACATACAGTTAGAGCCATCCTGTTAAAATTTTAGCAATGGGAATCTTCAAAGCTGCAGGCTACAGAGAAAGCACGTCTCTGATAGCCCAGGATCTTCTCCCAATTACTCTTTGTCAGCTCACTCTCAACATCCATATCTCACTGAAGGTCAACTGTGGTTGAAAACATCCAGTACAGACTCATTCATGATAAGAGTAAAAATAATGAAGACATATCCACCCTGAAAAACAGCACACATTCAAAACTAGTAGGAAACCCAAATAGGCTCTCTTCTGATTTCAGCTGGCAGGACAAATGTCCCAGTTGAGAGAGACAAGCAAAAGAAAAGAGAGAAAGAGATTGTGTGCTTTTACAGCAGCCTGTGATTGCTGTCATGTCGTCATCCCCCTGAGTGTTTGCCCTCCTGGGAGAGATCTGAGAAAGAACAGCCTCACACACTGCCTGGGAGGACACAGCCTGCAAATCCATCCTGGGCCTGAGCAATGGGGGAGGAAGGCACTGCCATCATCTTCCACCTCATTTAGAGCTGCACTCAGGTTTTTATTTAGGGAGTGGGAAGACTCCAGGTTTCAGCCTTGCCTCCACAGAGGTGGGTTTTTTTCCTGTCTGAACTTTTGTGAGTGGAGACATTTAGAAAACATACAAAGAACAATACAAATTGCTACAGCTGCATACAAGTATCAGGACAGAGGTATCACAACACAATCACACAAATACACTTTCAGGAACAGACAATGTCTTGAAAGTCACTCTGAATTTAACAACCTTCATGTCAAAGCAAATAAATAGCATGTATAAAAACATAGTATGGAAAGTCTAAAGATATCTTTAAAATCCAACTGCTGATTAACTGTTTTCTGTGTTCTACAACAATGTTCATTATCAAGATAGTAATTTTTTTTCTTTACACAGGAGAACAGAATCCCCATGAATTTTATGAATTCCCTTGTGAATCCCAGATACTGTGGGCAGTGTCCTGCACTATCTCCAGTCAATGTCCTCCTCTACTGATAATCACTTTCTCAACTTCAAAGATCCACTACAGTCACTGTACCAGAAGCTATGTAAGTAAAGAAAGCAGCACAACTGGAGGGTGAAAAATAGACAGTTCTAGCACCCAAAAGGAAAGGCAGAGAACAGACATTTAGAACAAATTTAGAACAAATTTCCAGTCAAGGAAATTGTTTTTTCAAAGTAGGAGAAACATTTAGATTATTCAAGAGAAATTTCTGAAAATTAATAAAAGGATATGAAGAATTTTTCTTAAACCAAGAAGTACAGAAGACAATTAAATCTGCTGAGGGGTTTGAGGAGAAGTTAAGTACTTTGCTTCAGTACTCTTAAGAAGAATAATGGGAAATTCTTTGTCAAGGGATACTCCCTCATGGGAAATGAAGAAATTGCTTGCAGATAGAGAAGTCCCTAAGGAAGAGACAATTTAAGGACTTTTGCAGCTCTGAAGAAAAGCCTAAAAACAAAGAAGTAGGGTTTGGAACACGGATGTCTTTAGGATATCCCATCCCTCAGCAAGTGAACAATATCAAGATACAGGCTCCACAGAACAAACCAGGTTTAACTCAAAGATTACAGTTCATAGAGATTCAAGTCAAGAGGCTGCACACAGACCAGTTAAAAGAAAAGCAAAGCAAGAATTTGAAACAGTATTACTCACACAGAACAAAGCAATGCAGCTTTGTAAAGGTAAATAATGTACCTTTACTGCTTCGAATTTGGCAAATGCCAAAGTAAAAGATCCAGCAGTATAGCAGACCTGGTCTTTTGAACCACAACCCCCACTAAAATAATTCTTTTAAAGTAAAGTTTCTGCCAAGAAATAAAAACAAAACCCCAATTTTCTGGCAAAACAAAAGCATACATCTCTCTCTGCCAGAAAATGAAGCCACCACAGGTCACAAGACCCTGAGCAAATCACCACCAAACCCTTTTCCATCTAGCCAGGCTTTTCCTGAAGCCTTTGGAGCTGGCACTCTTTGGTCATGCAAAACAATCCTGTTCCCTCTAGACAGTGGACATCTATAGCTCCCAGTGAGCTTTTATATGACTGGAATATCTCCCAGCTAACTGGACTGAGGCACATTTTGTAGGGATCACCAAACTATTATCAGTAATTATGGAGCTGGGCTGGAATTCACACTGGTGATTTAGCTGGAAAAGGTCCCATCTCAATATCCTGAACCATCCACTCTCCACAGCTAATTTGTTCTGAAATTACACGTCGCTGATCTGGCACCTCTGCCCTGCCTGCAGGACCAGCTTCTTTCCATGCCAGTGGTTTAGACAACAGGAGATTGGTCCTTATTTTCCAAAGAATGCAGTTGTCAGTTTTTTCACTGCTTTCTGAAGAGCTGATCCAAAGGGCTAATTCATCCTTTCCTCCTCTAGGATAATCTTATGAGAAAAATTCCTCTGGACACAGAATTTCTGCTTAACTAACCTTTCTGACCAGGGTCTCAGCTAAAATGTGAAGCACCCAAATGCCCAGTGACCCCAGGAATCCCCCCTGGCCTATCTACACAGATTATTAGCTCCCTTAAATTATTCTTGGTCAGTAAAACTCACTGGAGAGCAACACCTGCCCTTAACTTCCTCAATCCCCCCTACTAAGAACTGTGCTCATAGGTGAACATTTCCCTTTTCTGGGCAGTGCCAGCCATGCCAGGTTCACTCCAAGTGGCACCTCAGGGAGCAGGGGGCACAGAAATGCTTTAGTCCTCCTCCACACTTAACAAGTATCAGTTAAGATTGTGCTTGTGCTATTTTCAGCCATTCTGTGCTTAAAAGCAGAGGGAACATGGACCATCACCAGCTTTCATTAAAAGGAGGAAAAAGAAGGCAGTTCAGCACAGCAACAATTGGATTGGCACACACTGATGCAAAGCTCACACCAGTGCCAAGGTAATGCCTCAGGCACATCTGTCTCTCCTCTGGTCCATTTTCAGCTCTTGCTGTAAAGGTTTCTTTGACCTCCCTGTACCTGGGTTACAGATCATGGAGATTTGTGTAGGTGTTTTTTGGGTTTGCTCTTCTGCAGAACTAGAACCCAGTCACCAAAGAATTACAGGAGAATTTAAGGAAAAGAGAAGAGAAAGAAGGCAGGTTTAGTGACCACAACGTGTTCTGTACAGGAGCTGCTCTACAAAAGGACAAAACATCCACCCCAGCAGAGCACATCTGCAATACACACATTTCTGGCTACTGAGGTGCTGTGCTGAACATGGCAGTAAATCCTCAACTGTTTGGCAGATCATCCCAACACAAACATTACTGAAACCAATGAAAAAACACATCCAAAAATTATTTTCTGGCATCCACTTGCTAAGGGAATGTTCAATACAAATAATTCAAAGTAGGCTGGTACTTCATGGAAACGCTTCAGAGTCAAAAATCTTCCCCACCCCAAAATAAAGAAACAGTTCATTAGAATTTCTCCAGTTCTCCAGTTCAGTTTATAATCTGCTTTGCAGAAACCAAAGCAGCAGCTAGCCTGAGGTGCCAGCATCAGTTCTGAATCTGCACTCAAAGGATTCACTCACCAATTAACATTGATTCTTTCTGGTACTCTTTGCTGAGGTGGCAGCGCTGGGTCACACAGGACACGTATCTCTCCAGAACATACCAGCACATCTCATAGTAGAAAGGATAGCGGAATTTGGCGTGCACCTGGAAACAAATCAACACTGTCAGCCCATGGGGAAGGCAGAGAAGTTTGCAGCACAAGGGCCAGTCATCATTCCCATCGTGTTATCAAGAGCACAAACAGTGTGAGGAGGGGGAGGGGAGAGGGTGGGAGCAGGGAGCTGAATGCCTCCAGCATACGGAATGAGGAGCCAGCCTGCCTGCCACGACAGCATCATTTCTTGGTTCACTAATTTGTATCCTCTTGGGGTGGTGGGAGAGGAGAGGGTTTGTGTTCTTGTGAAATCATGAAACTGATGGATGGCCCCTACAGAATTATTTACCTGCTGTATAAACATAGGGTGGTCACATACAGATGTTAGTCACTAAAACTTAAAATAAAGGCGTGGGTTTTTCATCTCCTGAACACTATCACAGGATTTTTATCAAAATGGCAACATCACCTAAAATGAGTCAAGCAGGAAATTCATCTTTTTCATTTGTGGTTGTCTCAACAATTTGATTAAAGAAATGAACACATAAATTCTTGATAACTACACATTAAAGTAAAAATCCCTTACGTGGTTTACCTTTTGGTAGCAAGTTAGCTTTTGCCACAAACAGAGCAAGAATAGAAGAGCAGGATTTTGACAAAAGATCCTGTAAAGCTGTGTACTTTTCCTTACATCTCAGACCTGTTGTTCTCACACAAAAAGCTGGATTCTCCAACACTAGTTATTTGTAAGAGTATTTCAGATACAAAAGAAAACAAAGAGGGTTTCCTTCCTTTCCAACATAGTTTTCTATCTGTAGAAGGTCACTGTATCACAGAAGGATGGGAAGCTCCTAAAATGCAGGAAGATGTGTGCATTTGTTGTGGTTTGGTAAAAATGGATGCCATGCATCTTGCATGCACTTGTACTTACACTGCACACCTCTTTCTCCTGGTGGCACAGAAATCTGTGTTTTGCAGGCTCACATGCATGCACTGCACTGGGATTACAGGAGCTGCTTTAAAACATTCTCTGCATATTCACTGCTCCCTAAGCCCAGGGGTGAGCGCCCACCTTTAGTGAAAAGCTGAACTGCACCAGAAAGGAGCATTATCTCAGAAAAAAAAAACCAAAACACCACCCACCACAGATCAGCCAAAAGCCCGAAGTCTGAACAGAACCACTAACCCAGCACCTGCAAACTCAGCCTCAGCTCTGCAGAGCAGGCACTGTCCAAACACCTGCATGGTGATCAAAGCATCCACCTGAGCAGATCAGTGACTTACTGGAATGCCCAGATTTGAAACCTGTCCCCAAGGTGGACAGCCAAAGAACTTGCCTCTGTTCCCAGGGCACAGGAAATGCAAACACTCTTAGCAGTCAAACAAAATGTAACAAAGACAAAATATACTGTATTGTCACACTAGATGTATCACATTGTAGGATTAAATAGTCCATGGCAATTCTCAGGAATTAAAATCCCTTAAATTCAACACAAATACAGCTGGCAAATCTGAACTGCTTGTTGCTACAGGTCATGCATCCAGCACTGCTGCCTTCCCAAATGTTTCCCTGTGTGGTTTGTTACAAAGCACACATACGAAAAAGGAAGGGAAAAAAGAAAAGGAAAAAAAAAACCAACCAGCCAAACAACAATCCCCTAAATGTGAGAACATTTAACCCCAGGGCCTTTTTGCATTGAAGAAAATTTTTCCTTTAGTTTAGTTATTTGTCATAGAGAAGAGATCAAGTCACTTATGACTATTAGGGAACACAGGGGAAATTATCCATGCTAAAATATATGCTAATAAAGGAACTCAAATTTTTCCAAGAGAGCACTGCAGGAAACAAAATTTGCAAAGAATTGACTTACAAACAGGAAGCCGCCTTCCACCCCTCAGCCTTCAAAAGGTTTTCAGCCACATGCCTGGGAATATTAAAGACATCATTGCTCAACATTTGTTGACAGATTCTGAGCTTCACCAAATTTAGTTGTTACCAATGTTAATTCAATGTGAAAGACAAGGCAGTAATGCATGCAGTGCTCCCATTATGTATATCAATCTTTAATATTCAATTTGAGTTCCTAATTGCCTCGCTATCAATGTTCCAACCCACAGCAAATCCCTCCATGCCTCTGTAATCCACTGTTTGCCCGAGAAGGCTTTGCTTTTACAAACCTTCAGAAGGAAGAGCTCTCTACACCATCTGTAGACAGAGATACTGTGCAGAGATCTACAGGGCCTTCTGCCAGTGAAGAGACTCCAACAGTGCTTTAAAAACTTTTAAAGTTTGCCTTATGGAAAAGTATAGAGGAATATGCTCTTTGTGATATCCCTGCACATTTATTAATTATAACGGATGTGAACTGCATTATGTGCATGTCCATACTCTTTCCATTGTACACTCACAGGCAAATGAACTCTTAAGGGCAGGGGAGGAGGAATAAGAGAAAGAAGGAAAAAAATTAAAAATGTTCTGTGATGAGTTCGAAGTGTAATATCTGAGACAGACACTGCCAGAGGACTGAATTCCCCACCAGCAGGGAAATAGACTGGATCATCTAATAGGCATTTCCAGCTCTAACTTCTGTGATTAATAATTTATAATCCACTGAAAAAAATTTTAATTATTCCTGTACAGCAAGAAAAAATCCTCTCTGGAATATGATCCATTTCTTCAGTTCAAAGTGAAATTATTTTAGAGATTTATATACCCCTCCAAAAACAAAACAAAAACCTTAAGCAAGTAAGACACGTTTTCCTGAAAAAAGTCATAATCTCTTCCACAATGCTCATTAAAATCATTACAAGCTCCCCTTGTGTTTAATCAATCTAATCACACTATTGAAAAGCAATTTATGATTATTTACAAAATAATTAAGCTAGCCACTTAATATGTTATCTTACATTCCAGAAAACCAAGTGAATAGCAAACACCATCATCTGTGAGTGACCACCTTACGTATATATTCAGAGTGCCCTTGTTCCCACCATGTTCCAATATTTTAAAGCAGTTAAATTTAGATTAATTTGGGTTAGGTTGACACATTCTTCCTCCTCAATACTAGAGAGCTGTATCACCCCTGTGCCAAATGATGAATCCCTGCATGGCATCCTGCTCTGCAGCTCCTCAAGCTGGGCTTGCAGAGAGCTAAACAGCTTGGCCTGTTTGACTGGCTGTTAATTGGCCTCCAGGAAAGCCAGGCTGCAAAATGAGAGTCTCTACGAACTCTAAGGCTGGAGAATATTTGTTTACCTCAATTGCACATTAGGAGCTGTTCCCAACAATAGACATGTTTTTTATTACTCCTTAAAACTATTTTTAAATGGCTACAACCCTCTTAAAAAGTCTCCCAGGGGTATGAGGAATTAAGCTAGAATAAGCATGACAAGTATATAAACTAGGCAATTTTATCAGGCTGTAAATCAGCATTACCATTTCAACCCTGTATTTATTCTTGTCTGAGCTAAGACAATAACAACTACACCTAGCATAAAAATGACTTTGAATATCAGCAATCAAAGATGATTAAACATTACATAGCAGGTTTAAACACAGTGAAACCTCCATAAAATTGCTCTGTGCAAAATGAAGAGGGGAAGCACACCTGTATTACACTTTGATTTGAGTGTGGCAAATTACTTTGTCAATCACATCGTGTAATTTACTTCTGTGCCATACACAATGGAAAGATCAATACGGATGAGAAACTCATTTGCAGTATGCTCACACTGGCAAATTTGGGTGAACTACACTGTACTGAGTCTGCCAGACCAGCCAGTGTATGAATGGAATTATTTCAACAAAGAAATGACAAAATTTGATTGACAAAGCAAATAACGTAGTACACACCAGAATCCTGTTTTGAAACCATTTCCCCTTCAAGATTCCTGCACGATATTTTTAGTTTTGGAGAAAGGGGGGAGTGTTATTATTTCTAAATCACAGTATTGATTTTCCTGCCTTTTATCAAACTTCTGTATGCCTTAGCTGCACGGCCTCTATTTTGTTTCTGTGAAGAAATTCTTGCTATTCTTCAACTGTTCACACAGTTCTGATTTTATACATCTGCCCACGAGCACAAGTTTGTGAGCACAGGTACAGCCTGTGCGTAACACGTTGCCAGCACACAGCAACATCCAAGTGCTGAAATTGCTTCTGTGAAGTCGTGGATATTCTGGGCTGCTGGCTTCCATAGGTCTTTTTTAAAGCACTCCACTATTTTTGCAAGGAAAATGATAAAGAACTACACAGACTTCAACAAAAATTTAAACAAAAAATGACAAGAACAAAGGTCTGATTTGGGATTTCCAAATGTGGCAGGATCCCTTTCCCAATTAATAGTGACAGGACATTTTTCAAGATGCAGATACCCAACTCCCACAACCCTTCACAGGATCAGTGTGCCAGTAAATTTTAAAAGGCATTTCAGTGTAACTGGCTGGTTAGTTCATAGAAGTTACCAAAATATTTGACTGTTACAAGGAGTTTTGCCTGCTGGCATAAAAAGCTTAGAAAGTCAAAGCTGCACCCAGCCTCCCAAGGAGAAGGGCCTTGAAGCACAGCTAAGCAGCTACAACCCAAGGTGTGTGACCTTGGGTAGCTCAAGTCCTGTGTCAACAAAATTTTTATACAACTTAAAGAAAACAGAGCATTTCCTGCCCATCTTCTCAGAAGACTTCAGTGAAAATCACTCGTTTCTGGCATTGATCTTCCCTGCCAGTCTCCCCTTCTCCGTTCTGCAAGTGAGCTGCCTGTGCAAACATCCTTCCCAGCAACAACACACCCTCCCCTGCACACCTGCAGTGTACTCCCAGCATGTACTGCTGGTTCTTATTTACAGTCACTCTGGAAACCTTCCTGTGCCCAGTACCTCTGCCAGGTGAGCCCTTGCTGCTCCTGTCACTATAACTTTCCTGTCCAAGTCCCTCTGCACTTTCTCAAGACACTTGACAAACCCAGCTGTTCAAAGCCAGGCTGAATCCATTCTGGTCTCTGCTTTTGCTCTCTGCCGCACTCTTCTGTTCTAATTCCCCTAAATTTCATCTTTTGTCTTTATTTCTCTTCCACTAAGAATTCGTTTTTCTGCTTCTCTTCATTAAAGTCACTCCAGGAAACCCACTGCTCCCCCCACTGTTTTGCAGAGTGAAGATCACCAGGCCTTGTACCCGCTGGGCAGCCAGGGAGGCTGGGGGGAGGACACCTCACTCCCACCGAGTCAGAGATGTACTTCACAACAGTTTGCATTTGCTCCAGGCCTATGCACTCTCACTGCAAAGAAAGCAATTTGGGGTAAAAGCCAACGTGGAGCAAGATTTGTGCCCTCTTGTAGGGGTGAACAACAGTGAACTGCACTGATGTCCAGAACACAATATTTTAACACTTTTTAGTGAAGAAGAATTGCTATTTCCTGCCATTTTGCCCAAATCTCCACTAACACCAGAGCTGGCACCTGTGTCAATGGTTTATCAGCACTGTCTCTGAGTGAGGCCTCCAAAAACAGTCCCCATCTGGATTGCACATCCCTCTAAACCATTATTATATCAGAATGCCACAACGGCTTTGCACAGGTTATTTAACAGCCTACTAAAACAGAGTCACTTCCTTCAGATGCTGCTGCTTTTTGAAACTCAGTGGATATGATGAGCAGGTGCCCTGTTTATTAAGCAAGGATAAAACTGTCACCCCCAACAAAGAGGTGGCACAGTAACCTCCCCCAGCCTTTCCCTCAGGTGGGTGCTACAGCCAGATGAACATCACAATGTTCAGATCAATGTCCCACCCTGGCCCCTCTGTTCCAAGAAATTCTTGCATGGTATCAAGTCACTGTAGTGACTGCCAATTACAGAAGATGTCATTGCATACACAATTTCTGCACAGCTTTGTCAGCTCAGCTGTGGGCAGCAGAACCAGCCCAGTGCCATCAATTCTCCAGGATCAGGCATCCACCCCAGGTGTGCACAGAGAGGTGATAAGCAGAGGGTTACCAGAAATACTGGTACAAAGTTCTGTAAAGTGCAATATGTTTTTGTGCAGAAGGGAAGGTGTTTTATATAAGTTTAATAGGCAGACAAAAGACACAGAAGGGACACATCTGTGGGAAGCACATGAGTAAATCCCACTAAAAATAACCAACATTTGAAAGTCTCATTACTTCATGTTTACCTCTTGTTTCAACGACTGTGACACGGAGATCCCGTCAGTTGTTGTTTGTCAGAAGGGAATACGAGGGAGAGACTATGACAGATCATAGCCACAAAGAACTGCTCAGTTAAAAAGAGAATCAAGTATCCTTACCCTTGTTCTGTCCTCAATTTCATAGATGCGAAGCTGCATGGGAACATTAAAGCTATGCAGGATATTTCCACCAAACACCAGAGAATCTACTGGAGTATAAACCGCGTGTATCCACCCTAGAGAGGGAAAGCAAAGAACTGAGAATGCCTCGTGCTACGTAGCATTACAGAGCAATTTAAAATCAAATTTTAACAACCCTCTGAATCCCACTGTGCTGGGGATGAGAGGTTAAAGCAGTGAAAGGTTAAATGGGATGCTCACAGCCACACTTCAGGACTAGTCACAGCAGAAGGGCACCTTGTGACGTGCAGTCTTACAACCCTCTGTAAATCAGCTCTATTTATTCACCCAACACTTACAGTGTTTACTGAGCACACGCAAGTTTGTGACTCAACCACATCCATGACTAAGAAGTAAATTCAGTCTGTTCCATACACTTGACTCTCAGACTGGCACCTCCAGCATGGCTGCAAACCATGTCAGCAGTGGTGGTGGGCCAAGGGCTGCAGGACTGGACTGAGGTACACCAAACTTCCTTCACACTAGCACCACAACACACCTTCAGAGGTAAAAGATTTCAAATTATTACCAGCCCTCCTTCAGGGGTGAAAGTTTCATCACCTACAATCAACTTCTGGAAGTAACCAAGAAATAATTTTCACTGCAAGGCTCAAATGAAGGGATTTAACATTTCTGGTACTAGAGCTGATGAGACTGTTCTGACCCAATCCTACAAGGGACTCAATTAATTTCACAGGCTCCAAAGAATCTTCTATCACAATGAAAATCCAGGCACAGCAATTCAGACAGCCACACACCAGCTCTTCTGCCTCTGCATTGTTTGCTTGGTCTGTCAGGAGCTGAAGCTCTGGCTATGCAAGACTGTAGCCTCTGATCTCTGCAGTGAAAAAGGAATTGATCCTGCTAATGATCTGGGACCCACAGAGACCTGACACTTTTTTTCCTCTTCTTTTTAATGAAAAGCATTACAATTTATAAACCAGCAGACAGCAAAGCAACATGGGGGGCAGTCAATTTTCTCCTGACTGTGCAGTACTTTCCATTAAAGCTGTGGCAGCTTTCCCTCACTTCCTGATCAGTGAGGGAGCAGGAAAATGCCTTTCAGCCTAGAGGGTTTTCCAGCCAGCAGCCACAAAAGTGCTCCTCCACAACAATTTTTCAGCCATAAAGGCCTGCAAAGCTCTGTCTGGGAAGTCCTTGAGCCACAGCAGATGGCAGGACTGGGGCTTTCCTTTAAGGTCATGTTGGTAGGAGAGTGATGGGAAGGAAAAGAAATCAGCACTAGAATTTTCTCCCTGGAAACACAAGCCCATCACTCTGGATACATTTTTCTGAATTTCAGAGTCAATGAATGGTAGAGGCTGGAGGGGACCTCTGGAGGTCCAACCCTCATGACCACCTAGAGCCAGCTGCACAGAACTCTCTCCAGATGGCTCCATGGTGTCTCCTGGGATGAAGACTCCGTGGCCCCTCTGGGCAACCTGGTCCATGTTTCAGTCAATTTACAGGTCTGACTTCACACACTAAATGTGATGCATATAAAACCAGCATGTGGCTCATGGCTCTGGCACCTCTCAGAATTATTCCATCTTTCCTTCTCTGGTCAGCATAACTTCATTTACAGATATGAAGCCTGTTTATTACTACCAAATCAAGAACAATCAACTAGAGAGGATTTTTTTTTCATGTAAGGGTAGGGTGGCAACTATACACATCAACACTATAAATACTTCACAGCTGAAGTAGTTCAGCACCTCACATGAAATACATCAGCCTGTACTAAAAGCAAACTACTACAAAAATTCATGATCCTCATCCTAGTCTTTGGGAAGGAAAACAGATCCAAGGTCAAGGAAGTTGGGGCCACTGATTGCACCGGATAAACAAAGATTTCTGTGGTTGGGGGAAAGAGTGGAAACCTTCCCCCACGTGCTGAGGCAAATCTAGTCCTCAAAGCCAACTCATTGGCTGGGTGCTGAAACAGGGCTGGTTTGCGTGACAATCCACTTTAATTGTCAGGTTTAGAGATTAACAAAGTGAAACTTGAAAAAGTGAAATGACTTTCATGGCCCCACAACTGAGTGCTGGCAGAAGACAGCTCAGAACCAGGCAGCTACCAGCAGAACACTGAGGAGTCCTCAGCACCACTTCCCACAGCAGTTCTCTCAGCACAGATGTCAATGTCCAACCTTAGTGCAGCTGTTATTTTAGTAAAATTATCAACATCATTCAAAATACAATTTGCTATCAAATATTTGCAACTTGATTAAAAGGAGTAACTGAGCTGATTCTTGCCCTATTTAAAAGGTTCAAAGGAGATATCCCTTCATTTAATAATCAATAAAATTAAATTCCATCAATGCAGTTGTTCTTTGAGCAGGTGCTTCCACTGAAACCACACAGTAGCCTTCTCCTACAAATTGTATTTCCTCAGTGAACATTTCCCACTGGAGTGCAGCTGATTTCATTGTTTCCTGGTCTTTGGGTCTCTCAACAAACCTTCCCTGACTTGTCAACGCTACCCCTGCGAGATGCCAAGGGGTTTTGTGTTAATAACTGCTAGACTTTCTTGGTAGTAGTCCAAATATTTTTGGGAGAAATGTGGAATGATCTATCACTGGCTTGAGCCAATGCTCTAACAAATGGTGTTCCAGACATGACAAACCCTTGCACAGAAAGAATAATGAACAAAAATATCGTTTCAAGCATCCATTCTTGCAGAGCTGGTACAGTGCAAACTGAAAATCTTCTGTAATGTATCTGAAACAACCTCTGGCTCTGTGGAGAAGGTCTTTAATTCCCTACTTGCATTTATAATCCAGGACTAAACATCTTACAAGCAATTAGTACCTTCAGCTCCCAGCTGCTGAATTAACTGAACACTAGGTCCTTTAAGCAGCAAGTATTCCTAATAACAAGACTGAAAATATTGCTCTTAATGACACAGTTGTCAGTAGCAAAATCCTTTAAAACATAACACTAAAATCCATCAGGATTGGGAAAAGAAAAATAAACGAGAGACCAAGCAGCAAAGTCATCATCTAAAGTCCTGGGAAGTCCAGTTCCTACCCCTGCCAAGGCAGGGATGATTTCCAGGCATGGCTCTGATAGGCACAGATGCTGCCTGTGGGTACCCTGCCCTCCGTGCTGAAGTGCTGAGCTGGGCACACAGCTCAGTCCTGGGGAATCCCAGATTTCCTGCAGTCCATGTGCTCCCACAGGCAGCATCCAGCTCAGCCCCTCTGCAGGACACAGCCCTGTCAGAGGAGTCACCTGCGCATAAAATAGATTTTGGTCACTCAGCTGTGCAGCATTTCAGTCACACTGCATCCCAAAATAGCTTCCACTTGCCTGAGGAACGTACGTGCATAACTGAAACTGCAGAGACACGAGCACCAAGAGGTGGATTCCAGGGACACAGGACAGAATGGGCAAGGTTAGACAAAAAAGATGGGAAAACTGACAAGGTACAAAATCCCAGCAAGACTGGCACAGATGTTGCAGAGGAAAAACCTCAACATGAAAATCTCTTGTTCTAATACTAGGCTGTGTATGGAGAAAAACTGGAGGTCAGCACCAGAAAAGTAGAAATAGGAGGAAAGAGAGATGAGCAGAAAACAGGAAACAGTTTCCATCAGGGTAATGTATTGTGGAAATGAGCTCTGAGGAATGAGAAGCTTGGATGGCACATTCAATCCATTCCCACAGCTTAGCTACAGCACGACTCAGAAATAAACTGAGGAGGATGAATGTTCATTGTGACCATTTGCAAACAAAAACACCCATCTTGTCAGCTCCCCAATTACCATGGTTTTTAAAGGGGAAGACAAACCTCCAGAGCAGGAGGAGCTGCACGTATGGTGAAGACAAAAGGACAGCCAAGGGGTTTGCTTTAATGTCATCCACCAGACCCCTGCCTCACCTTCACCTGTGCTGTTACATTTTGCTGGATGCATTGAAGGTCTGTTGACATTTCAGATCATGTCACCTGTGCTGAACAGCCTGTCATGACAGCTCCTGTGTGTCTGACTTCCAGCTCTCACAGTACAAACTTCCCCCACAGCCCCCAATACCAAGACCTGTGGAGTGAGTTCATCAGGTCTCTCCTCAGTCACTGCTCTGTGCTGCTCACACAAACCCTGCCACTGCTGCTCAACCCTCTGTGTTCCATGGCTTCACATGAGACAGGAGATAACACCTCACCTCTTGGCAATTGTCTCAAAAACAGAGAACAACACCAAAAATTTAACTTATCCTAAATGCTTAAAAAAGCACTGGAACAATATCAGAACAACTGGAATAAGGACTGAAATAGTCAAAAGTCAGTGGAACAAGAAATCGTTAATTTTTGCCTGAAAGCCACAAACAAAAGCACCTGCTAAATATTACCTAAAGCTATAATTAAATCCTACAGCTGAGAGGAGGACATTGACTGTGGGGCTTTGAGGACCAGCCATGAACCAGGAAGATTCTTGCCCGTGGGTGACCATGGCCCAAGCAGCCTGTGCCCACATCAGTGACAGGAAGGTGGAACAGCCCAGCCCTGGGGCAGCTCCTGCCCAGCCCTGCCCACCACAGGCTCAGCCACGTGGGATAAATGGATTTGGGAGTACAGGCACTGCAGTCACTGCTCCCAGCCCTCATGTCAAGCCTCAATAAGACCAGCCACTTAAGGTTTTTCTGAAGTTGATGGTTTTTATTTCAGCTCCTGGCGATCAATAAGTGCTTTTTCCTTCCCAAAACAATCCCAGTGTATGAAGCCAAGCCAACACCGAGCAGGAATTCTCTTCAGGAGACTCAGAAATGCTCTCAGCTGATTTACAGTTATGAATTATTCCACCACTCCTAAGATACACTTGAATATTTAGATGTTATCATCTCTAGTAAATCAAGAAGGTAAAATTAACAGTAACAAACACTTTTTCTGAACAGTTAAAAGAAAGATATAATCTCATTATCTTTTGAATTTTATAAAACAAGTATTATTAAACATTGCAAACTTGTTAGAAGATTTCAGTGGGCTGCAAATTCCTACTCAAGGATGCAATCATCCATCTGAGAATAATGAAAAAGAATATTAACTTATAAAGCTGTG